AGTGGGCTTCAGAAGTGGGTGGACCTTAACTACAAACTCACAAGAGTCATCTAATACACACTGAGCATTTCCTGTGTACCCTATAGTCAGACAAGCCCTTGGTCTTCCTGAGAGCCCTATAGAATAGATGCTGTTTGGGCAGTTTCATAGATGGGGCCTGTCTAGCTAGGTCTTGTCATGTTTCATAGCAGTTTTGGGAGGACTGTAGTGCTAGGAGTGAAACTACTACAGTGAGATTCTTAGAATTGTCTCCTCTCAGCTCAAATGTTGTTTCATACTGATACATTATTCGATCCCACCCGTATGAAGCAGGCTATGTTTTTCTGTGTGTGTGCGCGCGCATGTGCGTGTTGGGGGTGGTGGTAGTGGTTGGTTTTTCCTCTGATGTGAGCAAACCCAGAGGACCTAGCTATTAGTGTAGCTTCAGTGTAGCTCTATTAATTTTTGCCTTCGGTGAAGATTAATGTTGGTAATACACATCCTACCAGTAATAATATTATCTGTTTTATCGCTAGGTTCTAGTCTCCATCGCAATGACTACACAGAACTCATAGACAAAATTCAGGATGAAAGGGTTTATTAAGGAAGTTAACAAGTTGTAATGCCAGTGAGGAATGCTCAGGGTTGAGTTGTTTATCAAAACATGTTACAAAGTTCTGTCAAGTCAGCTAATAAATACCCAAAGGGCATACCACTCTGCTATAAATCTTAACCCTAAGGCATTTAGCTCGAGGTCTGTGGGTCAGCCAACCTAGCCCCCTTAACTGTGCCCAGAGGCACCCCACTCCAATAAGCTTCAGCCAATAGCTCTGAACTCCACATCCGGGGGTCAGCAAGCCTAGCTTCCTGAATTAAGGCCCCAGAGACCCCCCCAGTCCAGTAAGCCTTAGCCAGAAGACACTCAGCTCCCCTTTCTCAGATCAGCAAATCCAGCTTCCCCAAGTAACTGCCCCAAAGCGCCACACACCTCAAGCCAGCTTTCTCCATGAAAGCATGAATCTACTTGCTCCTTGAGTTGGGGAGTCAGTCGCTCTTTCACGTGGTCAGGCTCCCGGCTCTGCTGCTGCTCCTTTGGTGGTGTAGCTGTCTGTCATCTGGATCATGGAGCTTAACTTTGCAGGGATCTCTGGTCCAGAGGGCAGGCTCCACTCCTGGCTCCCGCTGGAATGAGATCCCTCCTCCTGCTTCTCATTGTGTGCACAATAGGATGGCCCTGCAGGGAATCCTGTGCACAGTTCCTCACAGGTG